GGGAGGCTCCCGCAGCGGGAGCGGTGTGGGCAGGGGGCATCTCCCTCCCCACAGCCCCGGTGGTCCCGGGCTGGCCGGAGGCAGCGCAGCCTCACAGGGGCACTGCTGGAGCTCACAGCTTCACACCTGAGGGGCCCACGAGCCCTGAGAAGGAAGCGAGGCCGGAGTGCTGGCAGGCAGGTGTGCTGTGGTTCTTGGTGGTGCCTGGCTGGGCACTGGGAACAGAGCTGTGCTCTGGCTGGGCAGGGAGCTTGTCCTCTCTGCAGACTGGGTGCTGCTGGGGCAGGGTGAAAGCCAGTGTGGCCAGTGCCCAGCTCTGGAGCCAGCTGGGACAGGTAGCTCTGATCATCTGGTGGGGAAACATCACTTTCTGCCAGGGAGGGAATGATGTGCCAGTCAGTGCAATTACAGTTGCTGGGAAGTACTAGAAGGAGTGCAAACACACTGGGGGACAGGATGGCTGCTCAGATCCACCCTGACAGACTGAAGAGCCCGGGAGTGATGGGCTGCAGTTCACTAAGGACATGTGCCCGCTTCTGCACATGGGCAGGGTCAGCTGAGACCACAAACACAGGGTGGGGAAGGCAGAGCTTCTGGAGAAGAGGATCTGGGGGCTGCATCCAGCACGAGAGAAGTGTGAGTCACCCGTGGGGGTGGCTGCAGGAGGCAGCTACCCTGGGCAGGGCACGCTCCCCGCTCGCTTTGCCAGGCCAAGGCCACAGCTGGGGCTCTACTCCTAGCTCTGGGCACAGCAATGCAAAAAAAGGTTAAGGAAAACTGGGCAGCCACCAAAGGAGAACAGTGTCTATGATGAACAAGTTAGAAAACATGACCTAAAAGAAAAAAGATGATGGAATATGAGCTATTAAGATTGAAGGGAAACAAAATCTTAGAATATTTTAAAGCAGCTAAAAGAAAGTAGAAATTGTTCCTCCATGGATAGCATAAATCACTGACTTAAATCCTACCAGGAGAGTTTTAGATTAAGTACTAAGACAAATTTACTGGGAGTGAGTCTGGAGAAGCACCGGGCTGGTTGAAGGAGAAGCTGGGGGAAAGCAGGGGCTGTAGGAGCAGGCTGAGCAACAGAGGGGCAAGAGTAACAGTGGGACACTGCCCCTGCCCTGGAGACACCTCCCAGTGCCCCAGCCAGCCCCGTCTGCTCCGAGTTCTCTGCTGGAACTCAGTCTCCCTTGCAGCCTTCTCTGTTTCCCCTCGGGCAAAGCCGTGTGGCTGCTCCTTGAGAGGCAGGGTGCGCTGCCGGGGACAGCCGAGGCTTAAAATTAAGGAGCCTGAGGGTGAGAGACAAGCACCAGATAAGGGACAGGGGGAGAGGAGCCTTGCTCTCAGACGCCACAGGCAGGAGATACATTTGTTCACATCTTCCTGCCCTGCAATTGCCCCGTCATAAAACGGGAGTGAGAGCATCCCCTGGCTGCTGGGCGGGTTACGGAGATGCCGTGGGGCAGTTCTGCAGGGCACGGATCGGTGCTGGGGGGAAGCCAGGCGGCTGTGCAAGCTCCGTGTGGCTTCAGTGCCAGCACAGAGCCGAGCCGGGGGCACAGCCAGCCCACCCAGACCTCACCAGCCACCTCCAGCTGCTCCTCCTGCACAAACGCAGCAGCAGGTTTTAGAGGACTCTCACAGGCTTTTTGTTCTGCACTGAGCATCTGCTGCAGGAGCCAGAGCCAGAGCCCCCCCCGATAGGTTTTTTGTACCCACATCTGCACACACAGGCACTTTGTTACAGCCATACAACTCCCCTGTGGTGGAGGGGGTCAATACTTTTGCTGACCAAGCTGAAAAGAGAACAATTAACATTCTGTCTGCTATCGGCGAAACAGACACGTCAGTTCTGCTGGAAATTTTTTTAAGCTCTGAAGTCTGCCTGGTTTTGAGGAAGGAGGGTTAGAAGAGGAGGATATTAATAAATAAACCACTATATTTGAAAATGGCACATTTAAAAATGAAAAGTGGCAGTGTTTTGTCTGGAACTTGTCAGAATGAAGAGCTCTTCTTCATTTTTGTGTTCTCTAATTCGAACGGGGGTAATCCCCCCTCCCAGCAGCTCGGCACTTTCAGAGATATTTCAGTCAACCTAAATATACTTTTTTTTCACGACAGGAAACCCGATCACTCAAAGTCTCACCTGGCCACAAAGTCTCACCCACCTCTTTGTACTCAGGCACACAAAGATGTTACCTCCACTAAGAAAGAGAAACGAAGCATTCTGCCCTGTGGCACATCTGCACCCCTGCGCTGGCAACAGCACAACTGAACAGGGAAGGATTCCTCAAAAGACAGCTCCTGTGGGGGGTCTCCTCCTGTACCTCCCGTGTGACTGCCAGCCCTGGGCAACCAGGGCTTGGTGTCCCCCTTGCCAGTCCCTCTGCCCTGCGGGAGAGGGGTGTGAGGGATGCCCCGAGGGTGCTGTGGCCAGGGAAAGGTACTTGCTGGCCTGTGCTGGCAGCAGAGACACTTGGGAGATCAAAATCAGGAAAATGGGGCATGTTGAGATTAATGGATGAAGAGTATATCATATGGCTGACTTAGAGAGCATCAGAGTTTACAGTATTATGCAAACCAAACCTAATTTAAAGTTATTGAATAAAATAAAATAAAAAAATTCAAGCCTGTCCTTGTTTCAACACTTTGTTCTCGACCATGTATCCTAAATGCACTAACATATACTTTAATAAACCCCAAGGTAGCAAAGAAGCTCTGAAATATCCCCACTTGAATAAAAGGTACTTAAAAATGATTGCAAAGCGGTATCAGTAGCTGTGAATTCTGATTTTGCTTAGAAAGCTAACACATTACTAACGGGGAGGGCCATAACCAGACTGCAGCATACGAGGTGATATTAGCTGAAGGAAACAAAAAACTAAAATAATGCAGCTTGGAAATTATGTATCAGCTTCTGTAAAAAGCTGCAGATTTATTAGGGTGTGCTCTGTGATGGAACTTCTCATTTTTTTTGCTTAAATTGGAGGTGGCTGTGAGGAGGGGGCTTAGCAAACGCTCTGGAAGGAGAATACCTGTTGGTGTGCTACCTTTTCTGCCTTCAGAAAGAGCTGTATCTATCTGTGTTTCACAGAACGTGTTTGTAAGCCTGCGCACCTCTTTTCCTGTTTACCACAGATGCAAAATCTTCTATTTGCTTCAAAATCTGTTCTGTAACTGGCAGCTGCCCATCTGACACGTGCGTATCGCCCCGTCTCAGCCATCTCCACCGGTGATGGAGTAAACCTCTTGGAAGCTCCCAAGTCTGAGAGAGGAGAAGGACACGGTAGAAGGGGAAGGGGACCAAGGCCAACTGAGAGAGGAGAGGCTGCCTGCTGCCAGAGGTAAAGTCCTTCCACATTTCATGTGCTACTGGTAAAGCGACGGCTTGGCTCGGGCAGGTGGAGGGAAGGGATCTGCAGCTCTCTCTCAGCACCCTCCAGAGCATTGCTTTTTCAGTTTGACTGTTGTACCAACTGATGTGAAGAGGAGAGAAAATGAAAAATGCTGTGCCCTGGTCAGAAGCTGTCAAAGGTGTTAACGGTGTGAAGGTGACCTGAAAGCTGCAGCGGCGCATCTCTGGTGGCTGGTCAAAACCCACTTTTGAATGTTGCCAGAATCAGATGCTTCATAGCTACAAACCTGTATCTATAGATCTGCATCTATCTGTCTGTAGACCTATACCAGCAGTACTCATTATTTTTGGACATTTTTCGACCTTTGGTTGTTGAGGCTGTGAGTTGCATTTCAGGGGTCCCTGAAGGACGAGCCATTGCTGCAGTGCTTACGGTCACAGTGTTGGGGTCACACTTCAAAAGCAGTAGCAGGAGAAGTCTCCTGCCCATACCTGCTGCTGAATGAGCAATGAGGTGTGAGCAGCAGCCTTACGTGGAGCAGAGGGTGACCAGCTGCCTCCAGCACCTCTGGGCTGTCCGTGAGGGTCCTCCTGTTGCCCTGCACAAGGTGGCACAGCCAGGCAAGAAGGGCTGAATTCTGACTCCTTCCTCATCAGTACGAAAATTTTCACCATTCTCTCGCTTTTCATATATATTTTTAACTCAGGAGAGCATGTTCTCCACTTCTAATGAATTAATAACTGTTATTCATATTACTGATGCAGCTTAATAGCAAAGATTAGTAGAAATTATTCTTCCCTCCTGGAAACTCTGACTTTGAAGCTCTTTCAAGATGAGATCAACCTGTACGCAAGTATAACATAGGTGCAGTGCACATGAAACATGCAACTGTCTTAGCAGTGACCAGGCAAACTCCTTGGAACTAGTGTCTTTTAAAAGAACCTTTACTCCTTAAAATGTGAACTCTGCAAACCAGATCGCCTTCTACAGGGGTCGTGAGGTGACATCTGGGAAAAAAACAAGAGGTGGCTACGGGCTGGGTGCCTTGTGGAGAGCAGATCACACTGTTTCTAAGCTGTCTCCATTGTAACTCTTCAGAACTGACAGAGGAAACACCCCCTTGTTTTCTCTGAGCTGGAAAGCTGAGGCCGGGCAGGAGGCAGGGAGGATGAACTGCAGTGTTTTGGCACTGGGCAGAGCCGAGCTGATGGCTTCTGCAGCCCAGACTTCTGTAAGGGTCTTCATACTGCAGGGAAAACACGTCCCCAGCCCAGGGAGCACAAGGAAATCCAGATTCTTCCGTCAGCTGCAGGTTTTGGGCCCTCTGGCACCATTACGGCTATTCAGAGCGTGCGTTTGTCCCTGACACTGTAATGATGAGGGGCTAACACAGGCACTGAGGCAGTTTTGGGGAAACAGAGCATCCCCGTGCTCTCCCTCACACACATACAGGAGCTCTGGGCTGGCTGCAGGTGCAGACTTTTGGGTGGTACGGCTGCTCCTGTCCAGCCCAGGAGACCGAGACTGCACTCCACAGTCCCCCTCTGCCTGGAGGCTGAGCCACAGGCTCAGTGTGCCACAGAGGGGGGCAGGAGCCACCCTGGGCATCCCATGGCAGGACAGCCAGACATTTACCCCTTGTTCTTTCCTGCACAGGTATCTGAGATGAATCCCACGAGCCAGTCCCTCAGCACCACAGAATACGACTACGGGTATGATGAAAACACTGCTCCGTGCAGCGAAGGAAACAGCTTCCACAGGTTCAAATCCCTCTTTCTGCCCATCCTTTACTGCCTGGTGTTTATCTTCTGCCTTTTGGGAAACTCCTTGGTCCTTTGGGTTCTCCTGACCAGGAAGAGGCTGACGAGCCTGCTGACCCTCGCAGCCTCCGATCTCCTCTTCGTTGTGCCTCTCCCTTTCCAAGCCCACTACGCTTCAGACCAGTGGGCTTTTGGCAACGCTATGTGCAAGATAATGGCTGGCATTTATTACACAGGTTTTTATAGCAGTATCTTCTTTATCACCCTCATGAGCATAGACAGGTACATAGCCATTGTCCACGCCGTCTATGCCATGAGGATCCGGACAGCCTCTTGTGGCATAATTATCAGTTTAATCCTGTGGCTGGTGGCTGGCTTGGTTTCTGTACCCAACATCACCTTCAACCAGCAGCTGGAAGTGGAGCAGTCTGTGCAGTGTGTCTTCACGTACCCCCCCGGTGACAATACCTGGAAGATTGCTTCTCAGTTTGCAGCCAATATCCTAGGCCTCTTGATCCCCCTTAGCATCCTCATTTACTGCTACGCCCAGATATTGAGAAACCTGCAAAAATGCAAAAATCGGAACAAGATCAAGGCGATCAAGATGATTTTCATCATTGTCATTGTTTTCTTCCTCTTCTGGACTCCCTTCAACGTCGCGCTGTTCCTGGACTCCCTGCAGAGCCTGCACGTCATCAACGACTGCCAGGCGAGCTACCGGATAGCCCTGGCCCTGCAGCTGACAGAGGCCATCTCCTTCATCCACTGCTGCCTGAACCCCGTCATCTACGCCTTCGCCGGGGTGACGTTCAAGGCCCACCTGCGAGGAGTGCTGCAGTGCTGTGCCCGTGTCCTGCCCGGCCCCGCCGCCGGAGGGCC